AGCGTTTTATTTTTGGCAAGTTATCGTTATCCTCTGAGCATTTTTCTGTATTATTTTCAGATTCATGCTTTACCTTTTGCAAAAAGTGTATGTAATTTTAGATTGCTTGCTTCTAGTTAAAAGAACTTTATAAATTTCCTTATATGGCGCTAAGCACTTATGGAATAAGGGAAAAACATCTAGCAACACCAGAAGCAGAAGCGTCTAGATCTGGCAAAATTGAAACAATTTTCGCGAAGGACCATGTGCATGGAGACGAGAAAAGAAAATTTACACACTGAAGTACTAATAGTTCACGAAAATAATAATTTTCGTGAACTATTAGTACTTAAGCATGTAAAAATTTATTACATTTTATGTTGTACAAGGGTTTTACCCATTTCTCGAACCGTGTCAGAGTGAATCCGTGCTATAAAAGTACCGTGTTATACGGGGGATGGTACCAATTCTCGAACCGTGTTAGAGTGAATCCATGTTATAGAAGTGCCGTGTTATACGGGGGTTACCTGTATTTAAAATATTTTGATATTTCGATGTTAACTATTTCTACAAAAAAAAATTTGCCAAAATTTAACTAATCAACTAAAAATCCAATATTAATATAAAATATCTATTTATAACACTAAGATTTTAGTTAATTTCATCAAAATATTTTAATTTAATAGCTTAATCCACAGAATAAAATTTTTTTTTTTATTTACTTCATCTAATCTTTATGTGTAATAAAATATTCGTCTATTTTATCTTATATTTAACGTATAAGAATCCAATTTCTTTTAACTTTAAATTATTCAACTCAAATTAATTCTATAATTTATATTTAAGCGACTTTGAATATAAATTGTGGCCAAAAGTCAGTTAACCTAGATATAGCAAAGTCAGCGCCTTAATATTTATTCTGCTTTAATTTTATAATTCATGATTAATAGATTGTGAATATACAAGGGAGTTCAGAAGTCAGTTAACCAAACTCTGTAATTTATGATTTACACTTTAATGATTCTATATCTATTAATTTATGACTTGATACACACAGTGATTCAAAAGTAGGTTAACCTAGTTGTCCGACTTTCCCTTGTCTCAGTCAACTGACTTTCAGGTCACCTGTATGTATATTCTTGTAAAAAATATACGAAATTGAATTAGATTTAATCTTTTAAAAGTGGAGAAAACGTGATATTTAAACTGATAGAAGCTATTTAATTATTGGTTAGCATCGGGCTAACTTTCTTTCAAGGACGACAATGTCATTGAGTAATTAACCAAAGCATCACTCTCTCTACTGATGAAGCCTTCGAATCGTTTCCAAGTTAAATTACCTTCTGTATGATTAATTAAACTGCAACAAAGTTAAATTTAACAGTAAATATATTATATATTTACACAATTAAATTTAAAGTTTTTACCGAAAGACTTTTAATTTCTTCAAATTTTTTTAGTAATGAAGGTTAAGATGACGATAAATATTTTCTTAAATTCAACAGTTTGTATAATGTGTTGTATATCAAACGTTTAGTGTTTATTAAAAGATATGGAGAGGATATTCACGAGTTAATGAAGTCTAGAAGAAAAATGTCTTATACTTAGACGTGACATAAAAGAGGCGGAACAGGAAAGAAAGAGAGGTTAATTACTCGCCACTGAAACTATCTTCAATGGTACAGTACCTACAATATAGATATGATAGAGAAACAGAACTTTTACATTATCAAAATTTTTCATCTTAACTTGTTAACTTAATTATATTTTTTAATTGCTTAAATTGAATTATTAAATTAATTTTATTCAACTTGAATTAGTTCTTTAATTTATGATTCGAACATGATTTATATACAGAGTGGCTCATAAGTCAATTAACCGTATTAGATGACTTTTACTCTATTTCGATTAACTGACTGGAAAACTTTTATCTGAATTAGTTATACATGTTGTATATTAAGAGAATAGTATGAATAACATGTCTAAGATCTTTAAAAATTAGTTAACTGATATAGCTGATTTTTAGTATTTCTCGGTTAACTGACTTTTGGGTCGCCTACAAGTATTCAAAATAAAAAATGAATTAAATATTCAAGAGCAATTCGATGTTTAATAGTAATTAAACGAAGTAGATGATAATTATCACATTGTTAAACAAAGATCAGCTTTGTTTCATGCGATTAGTTATCTACTTTTTTTGATAACTGTGATCAAGGAAGAAAGTTTGTTCGGTCATCGTACTCTGACTAATCGTAGCTTTTGGGGACAAACGTCTTCCTTATCAATATTCTCTTCTATTGTTATTCTTTCATTGCTCTGTCTTCACAATCTCTCCAGCCACTGGCTACCCAACATACACTTTTTCTCCCTCCTACTGTTCTCAAAAGAGATAGCAAAATAACAGTTATAGAAATGACGTATGGTCTATGGATCATTTAATGGAGGATACTACAGCTATTATTTCTCTAAGATTAATTATTTTTCTGTTATCATTTTATGTTGTTTAATATAAAAAACAATATATAATTATTTCATCTCTCACATCATCATTAAACTTATCCTAGTTTTTAAGTAGGTTAAATAATATAGTCTACGTATAATTTAATGATACTTTTTCCTTTAACTGTTAATAATATTTGATTTTAATTTATTTGATAATGCAATTTTAACTTTGTTCTAATTTTACTTAGTTAATTAATTCATCTATAATATGACTAAACTAACGATTAATGAGTGTTAATTATGTAATGATCAATTAACTAAACGTGATTTTTTATCGATTTTCATCAGTACATTAATTAGTTTCTTTATTGATAATGCTATTGTTTGCCATTCAATCGCTAATTGGTTAATTTTCTCGTAGTGTCATTTATATCCGTCTTTAATAGGATCTTCATGTTCGTGTCGTCGTTCTTGCCATTTTCTAATTTCTTTGCTAATTATAGACATGATTTTTTTATACATTTATCTTCATTTCATTCCAGTGCTTTTACTCTTATTAAAGGTATTTATAAAATTTACTCAAATTAAGAGATTTTTTTATGATTTAATATAACATTTTTCTGCTTTCGGATAAATTATAGCAATATTTAAAATATATGATGAAGAATCTCTTCCATTAAAGTATTTAAAAGCAAAATGTTTAGCTATTTCTAAGAATTAATTAATATTTTCAGTTATTATGTAAGAAATTTAAGCAACAACAGTAGATATGTTCATCAATTTTGAAGCAGGAATTTGTGATTACACCACAAATCGTCGTATTCTCGGTTAATTAATGTTAATGATGCATATCCACATAGTAAACATCATTTAATCTGTTAATATGAAATGATGTGGTAAGTATTTTCCTATTTATAATTGTTATGTTTGTTTACGAAATTTATTTAAATTAATAGACGCTTGTATATACGATTGATTATTGTGTACGAGAGAACAAATATGTTTAATATTCTCAAAAAGTGTGTTCATCTTAATATAAAAATTTTACTTTTTTCATTTTGTGTTTGATATTACATTCCAAATATTATTTATGAAAAAACTGAAATAGAACATCATTGAAATTGTAAAAAAAAAAAAAATAGTTTGTAATAACTTATTTGGAATACGTTGAAGTCGAAAGGGAAAGCACGCTTTACAGGAGCTATACGATGTGACAAAGGAACAAAATTGCCTGCTATGACTTTACTGTCGTCATTTCCTAGTAATTCAGAGGCTAAACGTCAACTGAAAGTTTTTATGGAGTGAATTTTATATTAAATGAAAGGAACAAGCTGGTTTGAATTTACAATTCTTTGTCAGAATGACAAATTTTTTATCTCTCCTCTTTATTTCAGTACATAAAAAGCAATCAGTTATAATTTTTTAAACTAAGATTTTTTATTGTTATAATAGTATTTATCTATTGTAGCATTCGTGTTTCCCCAAAATCGTGTTTTTAAAACTTATCATCACGAAAAAATATTATCATCATTTTTTTTCAAAAAATTGCATTTAAAATAACAAAAATTACTTAAAAAGTAGTTAAAAATTTCTAAGAANCGTTGAACATTTGATAACCGCAAGGATTTTCCTGGAAACAAATCCCTCTTCCTCCTCCAATTCACGCGAGAGTAAGAAATGCTCGTGATGTTACAAAATAATTCAACATCGGCTCCTTCACACGTTACGATCTCTTTAGAAGAATTTCTCCATCTCCATGCTACTAGGGATCCTAAATTAAAAATACTGAATTAATGAAAGTTTAAAGCAAAATCTATAAAATTATTATTAAATTATTTTCCGATTCAGTAGAATATCATAATTTTCGTATGCATCGAAATCTTATTCAAAAACCTTAGGAAACAATAAAATTTTTCAGAGTTTAGCAAAATAAATAAATAAATTGTATTTATTTTGCTTGTCTGTAAGTAGAAATCTCTCAAAAATTAAAATAATTAGATAATTAGCATAATCAGATTTTATTATATTCTCCTCAAAAATTTAATTGTGTACATCGCATTCTATTTGCAACATCTTTTGCATCCCTGATCCAAAACTCTTTTTCTCCTAAATGAAGGAAGCTTGACGGGAGGAGTTAAAATTTTGAATTTCCTTTATTAATTTGACTGTCTATCTGTATCAATGAAGTGTCTCAAAAAGTAAAAAGACAGGTTGGAATCGACGAGCTTGACAACTAGAATACTAACTCTCTTCTAAGGGTCATTATTTACACATTTGTATAAGAGCTATATATAAAGTAGATATCTAACCATAAAATAAAACCTTAAACCATCTATATTTATAAATTTATGCAAAAATTGATGACCATAACTTTAAAACATTGTCCTTTGTTAATGTTCAATTCGTGCACATTTCATTTTTATTAATAAGAATTTAATGGATTTTATTACAAAGAATCCAATTAAAACTTTTAAATTATCAAAAATAATTGTAAGTACGAAATTATTCAAATTAACGATAATATATTTTTATGTATAAATTCTTGAAGAGTTACGAAATTTATTTATATAAAATCCCATTTTTTAATTATTAATTTTTTACAGGCATATATATATATATGTATATGTATACTGTACATGATTTGGTCGAAACTGCATATGGACGTGCTTTGGCATAGCTTTTAATATTTTTCGTGCTGAAGAAAAGAGTTTTCAATCATTTTTGCTGAAAGAGACGGAGAGTGCTCCAAGAAAACTTGGTAAAAATAATCAACATTTTAGTCAATTAATTGCAAATATCTTTGTATAGTGGAAGCAAAAATGTGTGAAGAGTGACGAAATATATTTATATATATGTATATATACTTTATATACTTTTCATTCTAAGAATCTTTGATGAAAGAGAAGACGCTACATAATAAAAAAATTATACAGGTGTATAATATATATGTATAATATGTATTAATAATATCTTCAGTCACTTGGACCCTCAGAATTTTGAATAGAGTGTGGTCCGCAACCAGCTAAACAATTTGGCAATAAACACATAAAAAGTTAGTGACTGACAAAAAATGGTTCCTCTTGCATACCCTCTTCTTCTGCTCTTTCTTCTGCATAGCGAGAACGATAACCCAACTTAATAATAATGTATACAGATATGAATATTGGAGGAAGCATCCCGATAATGAATCCTGTCACGTTAAACTTTCTTTGAACAAAATGTCCATCTGTTACTACATCATCGGGAACTGGATAAAATAATAAAATAATCTTATAAAAATTATTTGAATTCATTTTTATTGAGTTATGTTATGGAAAAAAATAATAAACTTACCCATAATTCGAAGACTAGCAGCTGAAGTACCATGCCTATTCTGTGCTTGACAGGTATAATTTCCGAAATTACTTTTAATTAAAGTTCCATTATATACAATAATCACTTTTAATATAGAAATTGTGGTACAGTTTCCAGTTTCTTGCATCGCGATATCGAAATATGGATCCGACTGTACATCTAAAGCAATATCTTCTTTGTACCAAGTTATCGACGGAGTCGGATAGGCCTCTACTGTACACTGAAGAAAGCATTCACCGTCGTAAGAACCATTGATTTCTTTATTTGGCACTGTAATCATGGGTGGAACTATAAAATACACCAAATAATTACATATACTTTGAATTTACATATTTTCAAATAAATATATGATAAAAATTTACATTCAACTACGAGTGTGATATCCTTCTTCAGCATCCCTCCTGCCGCATTACTCACTTCGCACCAATATGTACCGTGATCTTCACGTTGAACATTTGATAACCGCAAGGATTTTCCTGGAAACAAATCCCTCTTCCTCCTCCAATTCACGCGAGAGTAAGAAATGCTCGTGATGTTACAAAATAATTCAACATCGGCTCCTTCACACGTTACGATCTCTTTAGAAGAATTTCTCCATCTCCATGCTACTAGGGATCCTAAATTAAAAATACTGAATTAATGAAAGTTTAAAGCAAAATCTATAAAATTATTATTAAATTATTTTCCGATTCAGTAGAATATCATAATTTTCGTATGCATCGAAATCTTATTCAAAAACCTTAGGAAACAATAAAATTTTTCAGAGTTTAGCAAAATAAATAAATAAATTGTATTTATTTTGCTTGTCTGTAAGTAGAAATCTCTCAAAAATTAAAATAATTAGATAATTAGCATAATCAGATTTTATTATATTCTCCTCANTTATTGTTATTTTCATCTTCTATAAAAGCGACGTTGAATTATTTTTACTTAGAAAAAAGTATTTTTCCTTCTTTTCCTAAGAATTAAAAGTTGCATTTTTATAAGATACGAGTAATTGCAATCAATCTATAAAGAACATCCTTTAAATATCACAGAAACATGTCGTTTTATAGTATCAGAATAGCGTGATGGAGTATTCTTTAAAATATGATGATGATGACAGTGCATCCATCATATTCGACAATCTCATAAGAATCTCACTTTATTCCATGGATACTTATGACTAAGAAGATTGTAAAAGGAAATTATATAGGGAGAAAAATGGTCATGTAATCTCAACTATCGATTAAAAATGTAAATACAACATTCCTTTAACTGTAATTAATTTTAATTAATTTATTTTAATAAAACTTGAAAGCATCTCGACTCGTTACATAATACAATTTAATTTTTTTTAATTATTATTTTACTGTTAAAATCTCGTTCCATTGAAAAGCATTGTAAAAGATTATTTAATACAAATAAACATTAATGAAGCTTTTAAAAATTAAATTATTCTTCAAATTAATGAACATGCAAGATCATTAAACACACATATATAAATAGAATATAATTTTTATCAATTATAATTCTCTTTAATTTATTCTAATTCATGTTATGTTTTAATTAAAATATATATTTTAATGTGTTTAATTTATAATTAAGCACATTAAAATTAAGTTAAAGTAAATGAATTCTGCTTTTTTAAAAAAATAAATGAAGTCAATTATAGCATTTTATATACAAAATTTACATACAAGTGAAAGCAGAGGATTGTACAAAGTTTATTTATATAAAATCCCATTTTTTAATTATTAATTTTTTACAGGCATATATATATATATGTATATGTATACTGTACATGATTTGGTCGAAACTGCATATGGACGTGCTTTGGCATAGCTTTTAATATTTTTCGTGCTGAAGAAAAGAGTTTTCAATCATTTTTGCTGAAAGAGACGGAGAGTGCTCCAAGAAAACTTGGTAAAAATAATCAACATTTTAGTCAATTAATTGCAAATATCTTTGTATAGTGGAAGCAAAAATGTGTGAAGAGTGACGAAATATATTTATATATATGTATATATACTTTATATACTTTTCATTCTAAGAATCTTTGATGAAAGAGAAGACGCTACATAATAAAAAAATTATACAGGTGTATAATATATATGTATAATATGTATTAATAATATCTTCAGTCACTTGGACCCTCAGAATTTTGAATAGAGTGTGGTCCGCAACCAGCTAAACAATTTGGCAATAAACACATAAAAAGTTAGTGACTGACAAAAAATGGTTCCTCTTGCATACCCTCTTCTTCTGCTCTTTCTTCTGCATAGCGAGAACGATAACCCAACTTAATAATAATGTATACAGATATGAATATTGGAGGAAGCATCCCGATAATGAATCCTGTCACGTTAAACTTTCTTTGAACAAAATGTCCATCTGTTACTACATCATCGGGAACTGGATAAAATAATAAAATAATCTTATAAAAATTATTTGAATTCATTTTTATTGAGTTATGTTATGGAAAAAAATAATAAACTTACCCATAATTCGAAGACTAGCAGCTGAAGTACCATGCCTATTCTGTGCTTGACAGGTATAATTTCCGAAATTACTTTTAATTAAAGTTCCATTATATACAATAATCACTTTTAATATAGAAATTGTGGTACAGTTTCCAGTTTCTTGCATCGCGATATCGAAATATGGATCCGACTGTACATCTAAAGCAATATCTTCTTTGTACCAAGTTATCGACGGAGTCGGATAGGCCTCTACTGTACACTGAAGAAAGCATTCACCGTCGTAAGAACCATTGATTTCTTTATTTGGCACTGTAATCATGGGTGGAACTATAAAATACACCAAATAATTACATATACTTTGAATTTACATATTTTCAAATAAATATATGATAAAAATTTACATTCAACTACGAGTGTGATATCCTTCTTCAGCATCCCTCCTGCCGCATTACTCACTTCGCACCAATATGTACCGTGATCTTCACGTTGAACATTTGATAACCGCAAGGATTTTCCTGGAAACAAATCCCTCTTCCTCCTCCAATTCACGCGAGAGTAAGAAATGCTCGTGATGTTACAAAATAATTCAACATCGGCTCCTTCACACGTTACGATCTCTTTAGAAGAATTTCTCCATCTCCATGCTACTAGGGATCCTAAATTAAAAATACTGAATTAATGAAAGTTTAAAGCAAAATCTATAAAATTATTATTAAATTATTTTCCGATTCAGTAGAATATCATAATTTTCGTATGCATCGAAATCTTATTCAAAAACCTTAGGAAACAATAAAATTTTTCAGAGTTTAGCAAAATAAATAAATAAATTGTATTTATTTTGCTTGTCTGTAAGTAGAAATCTCTCAAAAATTAAAATAATTAGATAATTAGCATAATCAGATTTTATTATATTCTCCTCAAAAATTTAATTGTGTACATCGCATTCTATTTGCAACATCTTTTGCATCCCTGATCCAAAACTCTTTTTCTCCTAAATGAAGGAAGCTTGACGGGAGGAGTTAAAATTTTGAATTTCCTTTATTAATTTGACTGTCTATCTGTATCAATGAAGTGTCTCAAAAAGTAAAAAGACAGGTTGGAATCGACGAGCTTGACAACTAGAATACTAACTCTCTTCTAAGGGTCATTATTTACACATTTGTATAAGAGCTATATATAAAGTAGATATCTAACCATAAAATAAAACCTTAAACCATCTATATTTATAAATTTATGCAAAAATTGATGACCATAACTTTAAAACATTGTCCTTTGTTAATGTTCAATTCGTGCACATTTCATTTTTATTAATAAGAATTTAATGGATTTTATTACAAAGAATCCAATTAAAACTTTTAAATTATCAAAAATAATTGTAAGTACGAAATTATTCAAATTAACGATAATATATTTTTATGTATAAATTCTTGAAGAGTTACGAAATTTATTTATATAAAAAAAAAAAAAAAAACAAGTTATGCTTGGCTAAATACAGTCTCGCTTCAGAAATGAATAACAATGACCACTCGTTTTTCTTTCTACACGACATATTATGAAATTTAAAAATTCATTCAAACTAAACAATTTTAAAGAAATATTGTCTAATTTCTCTAAAAAGCAAAAAATTAACTAAAGAAACAAATTAAAATCTATTCTTTATAGCATTCAATTTTTTTCTACCTTTTCTTCTTTTGTTCTTCTTATCTTTTTATTTAAAAATTCGATAACAATATTCTTTCAAAAGAATTTTTCAAAATTACACTTTATTTAAAAAATACAAAATTTTTCTGTTTCTAGCTAAATTTTATATATATCTATCTCTCTAAAGTCATTTAGAAATATATATACATTTTTAAAAGGTTATAAAAGTATCTAAAGATGGAATGATTCATTGAAGGAATACTTTAAAAAATACAGAAAAAGAAAGGAAAAAATTCAAGTACTTTTTCTGTACTTGAGATTTTTAGAATCTCGAAAGTGAACCAAATATCGAAACCAATAGAGACCAGGAAACACTTTCAACTTTATTCATCTCTAGAGAGCAATATTTCACCGAGTACCAAATATAAATATACACAATCTCTACCGCATATATCATAAAAGGTGTATATCTTACAATGTGTTTATCAAAAGTAAACGTCACACACTTATGCTTTATTGATTTAATATGTATAATTTGCTTTCTTTTCCCCTTTCTCCTACACTCGCAGCGATCACTTTATCCAGGAATTATTTTTTTTTTCAAACTTATCAAAGCGTTAACGATGTAAGCCATTTACCTAATAGTCGAACAAGCTTCCAGTCGACTAACCTTTATTTTTTACTGTAACGTTCCAGGTCCTTATGGAACAACAAGTGTCTGTTATCGATAACATGGGATCGACCTTTGGTGCTATCTTCGTTCGACCGCCTTCATAAAGCGGAACATTTTTGGTTTCTAACCAAGCTACCTACAAAATTAAAGTTTTAATTAACAAAAATTCATTTATTATTAATAATAATTTATCAAAAATTTCTTTTTTAATCTTCTTTCTACATCTATCAATAATAAATTGATAATAGAATTCCGTTTCAGTGTAGAATTTTAACGGAATTCGATTTCTAATTCGTTAAAAATGTAGTTAATTTGTTAAAGTTAAAAATAAAACAGCTTAATTTAATAAAATATTTAAGAACGTTTTTTTTAATGAAAAAAAATCAATGTATTTGAAATATTCTCATCATGATCATGTGAAGATGATGCGGATTTTGAATTTATGGACCAATTTAACTGATTTAATTTAAAATTTTTAAAAATTTAAGAATTTATCAATTAATTTATAACTGATTTAAATTACATAAACTTACAGAAACAGTTGGTCCTCTAGTGGTACAATTAACGATAACGAATTCATCGAAGCCTACAGATGGGCCTGAAAGGGCAAAGTTTTGCACGCTGTACGCTAGAAAATATGTTTGAAAATCTTTAATTTTAACTAAAAAACTACAATAAAATATTTATAAAAAATAAAGATTATAAATTAATAAAACATATTTTTAATCGAACGAAACTATAAGTTATCTTCTAAAAGTAGGATTTTCTAAATAATTATTTAAATCATAAACGTCCAAACATTTTGAAAAATAATTGAAATAATTCCTTAATACCAGTTAGTTTTGAATTATTAACAAATCTCTACGGTTCAATACTAGATGTGAATTGCATCACACAAAAGCTTTGTAACAATTTACCGCTGTTAGTCAGTGAATTGTCACAAATTGATTCATTACATTCTAAATTATCGGTTCTGTACTGAATGATAAGAAGGCAAAAGTGCAATAAAGTTTAACATGTACCAAAAAGATAACGTAAATTTGTACCATTTATACCAGAAACTAGGTATTTTATGAACAAAATTATAAAATTTAGAAAGCATTTTTACTTAAATTTTAAATAATAAATAGTTAAACCTCGATATAGAGCCATTCTAAATAGCATAACTCTTGTAAAATAAGTAGGCTACTTGTATATGGATCTTTCAGAGAAATATTAAACGTTTCAGTGCCTATGAATTACTAGATTCAACAATTTTGATTGAAAGCGACATTGTGATCATCAAACTCTCAAAATCAAACGTGACAGCATCTGTTTTATGCGAGAGTTGCGTGTCAATAAGTACCGTGTAAAAACGAAATTTCGTGTAAACTTGTGCTCCACTCTAAGTAGTTCCGGATAATTATCTAGACACTTATAATTAACAGAAAAACATCAATTTGTGTTTTAAAAGTTTTGATTTATGTTTTCAATACAATAAATAATGCTTTAATTCGGTTTTCTGAATGTACTGTACAAAGCGAAATTTTATTAATCGACTATACTACTTAATAAAAATACATACAAACCAGAGTATTCATTATAGTAAGTAGTGGTCAGTAATTCTGTGTTCAAAATGCCAGAAACTGGAGAAGCATTATTTGCTTGACTTAAAGATCATATTAAGTGGGCCTAGAAGTAGGTTATACTAACCACTCAACATCCCCGAAAACACAAATTTCGTAAAACAACATAAAATTAATTCTTATTGTCTGAGATACTTCGATTTAATGCCAATTTCGAAGGCGAGTAAACAGTGACGTTAAGAGAGGTTTGACTGTATTTTTAAAAAATACAGAAAAAGAAAGGAAAAAATTCAAGTACTTTTTCTGTACTTGAGATTTTTAGAATCTCGAAAGTGAACCAAATATCGAAACCAATAGAGACCAGGAAACACTTTCAACTTTATTCATCTCTAGAGAGCAATATTTCACCGAGTACCAAATATAAATATACACAATCTCTACCGCATATATCATAAAAGGTGTATATCTTACAATGTGTTTATCAAAAGTAAACGTCACACACTTATGCTTTATTGATTTAATATGTATAATTTGCTTTCTTTTCCCCTTTCTCCTACACTCGCAGCGATCACTTTATCCAGGAATTATTTTTTTTTTCAAACTTATCAAAGCGTTAACGATGTAAGCCATTTACCTAATAGTCGAACAAGCTTCCAGTCGACTAACCTTTATTTTTTACTGTAACGTTCCAGGTCCTTATGGAACAACAAGTGTCTGTTATCGATAACATGGGATCGACCTTTGGTGCTATCTTCGTTCGACCGCCTTCATAAAGCGGAACATTTTTGGTTTCTAACCAAGCTACCTACAAAATTAAAGTTTTAATTAACAAAAATTCATTTATTATTAATAATAATTTAATTTTGAACGATAATAACGAGTAAAATATTCATTAAGAGATATGACAAATGACCACTTTTATGTCTTCACCCTGTCTACCTTTAATTAAGAACAAAAATTTAATAGTATTAATGCCCCTTTATACGCAAGCTACAGTGCCACATTTCGTTTTTTAAACTTTACCCGTTCTGAGATGATGTTTAATATCTCAGAACAGTAAATAAAGAAATTAAACAAATTAGACGCCGACACACATACTCGCGCGAATTTTTTCCCTTTTATTGACATTTTTGAGGAGTTCGGGAGGTCTCCAAACGTGTAGATTTGATAACTTGAAGGGTCAAATTTGACAGGATTCCAATACTTTTCTGTTTTATATACATTACAAGTTGGGAAGTAAAAAGGAGTCGGAGTCGGCGGAATTTTTGACGACTCTGACTCCGGCTAAAACATCAAAACTGCACGACTCCGATTCCGACTCCACAGCCCTGTTTGTTAGTAATTGTTTTGTTACATGAAGAACTGAGATGATCATATTCATCGCTCGGCGAAGAGATCACAACTGTCTTCAATAAGGCGTTAAATGTTCATTATAAAAAATTTCACTTTGCGAACATTTTCAATGACAATCATTTGTTTCGATGCAAATNAACAAATTAGACGCCGACACACATACTCGCGCGAATTTTTTCCCTTTTATTGACATTTTTGAGGAGTTCGGGAGGTCTCCAAACGTGTAGATTTGCAAACTTGAAAGGTCAAATTTGACACGATTCCAATACTTTTCTGTTTTATATATATTACAAGTTCGGAAGTAAAAAGGAGTTGGAGTCGGCGGAGTTTTTGACGACTCCGACTCCAGCTAAAACACCAAAACTCCACGACTCCGACTCCGACTCCGACTCCGACACCACAGCCTTGTTTGTTAGTAATTGTTTTGTTACATGAAGAACTAAGATGATCAGATTCAGCGCTCGGCGAAGAGATCGCGACTGTCTTCAATAAGGCATTAAATGTTCGTTATAAAAAATTTCACTTTGCGAACATTTTCAATGACAATCATTTGTTTCGATGCAAATTTTATTTTTACAAGTATAAAATTAAACGATAAAAATAAGATTGCTCTATGAGGACCCTCCGTGCAATTTGACTATTCAACAGATAATTTTCCTAAGCATCTCAATCGTAAAAAGAAAAAATTAAGTTTACGATTAGAGCTTTATAGATCTAGAAGCGACTTCATTGCCAGATGAAGAAAAGAAAAAAAATTGCAGCTTTTTTGGGAGATTATTTTACTTTGTAATTGTTTACATTTCGAGACAAAAACACATAAATAAAACCTACAATTTGACACCTTACCTAAGAAAACTATTACCTTTCGAAAGAGATACTCTGATTTACTATACGAATTTCGGGAACAATGAAATCGGCACCGAAATATCGGAAATCTGATTCCTATATAAATGTCAGTTAATGACTTTTTCACTTTGAACGGAACCATAGCTTTCACTCTAAATAAGAAGAATTATACGTAATTATGAGAAGAGATAATGGACCGAACGTGATTGCAACATACACTTTCAATGGGTGTTATTAATATAAAATATTAATAAGGTAATTCGATTTATTATCGTTCCTTCTAAAAACTTTTAATTTCTCTCGAAATTCTAACAAAAATTTTTAAACAGGTTATCATAGCCACCGACGAATTGTTCAAATGTGGTACATAAAGTAAAATGAATATACCGGTATTAAGGTTTTACTGCATTAATCACTGACTTCAATTTGAGAATATGAAAATATATTGATAACAAGAAGTTTTTTAATTTGTATATTTTAATGCAAATTCCGTTTCAAATATCTACATGAATAGTGTCTGCATGAAGTATAATGATTATATCAAATACAAAATAATTTATAATTTGATTTTCTTTTTGAAACCGTGTCCTGTTTACTACGCCACAAATTTATAATTTATTTCCATAATTATAAATTAGGGAAATAAATATTTGAAAAAGTTACGTTGAGATAATACTTGTTTATTCAATTATTAATATCTGTGTTAACGTGATTTTAATAGAATGACTAAATAAGCTAAGAATGAGTAAATAAGTTAAGAATGACTAAATAATTAATGTTTTATGACTTTATATATTATAATATTTAAATTATTGTTAAAACAAAAAATATTTTTCATTTGAAAGATCGATGTATACATTATACAAAGTGCTAAAAAGTGTTTCTTCGATTCGAATTTTTTATGAATATGTTAAACAATTAAAGCAAACAGTCGCAAAAGACTGCATCTTCTGCGACATTTTCATTAATTTTTGAAACTTTTAAATTAAATGCATATTCCCTTTCAGTAAACTAGATTGATAAAAATTCATTTTTTATAATGCAATTAGTGCGTAGTCTTTATTATTTTCTGATTGAGAAATAATAAAAAGCCCAATAGCAAAGTAGAGAAGAAAGTAGAATTAATTTAGTATATTTTATATCTTATTTTAATAATTTCTTGAAACTGTATCTAGATGTTATTCATTTTTAAATGAAAAATGCTATTAAATATATTATAATTTATTATATAAAATATTTTATATAATTAATTTAAAAAGCGCTGGATTCATTTTAAAATGCAATGTAATTACATGTCGCTACGTACAAATAAAGACACGTATTTGCATTTGTATATTTGTAGGTATAGTATATTTGTATGTAGTATATAAATCTGTACATAGTATATAAAAATATAACAAATATACTAATAAACTATAAATAAATATATAAACTACGTATAAAAATTTCNGAATCATTGAATGTGAATCCGTTAATTTCATATGGTCCTGCAGTTCTGTAAGTCTAAATAGAACTTTATAAATAATATAATAGGAAGTATAGCGTAAATGTATGCACAGTACATTCTATAAGATAAGAGTAAATGTAAGATAAACGGGAACTATAGGTTAAATTTAGCAAATATGCTAAGTTAGGATAGATGCAATAATTATTTTTAAATACAAAATACTACAGCATAATTTCATTATCTTAATCGAATGTTTGAAACTTTCACGCAATGATTATTTCTAATAGAAAATTTCAAATCATCTATGAAATAAAATATAGAATTTAATATAAAATTCTCTACAGCGCTACTGATAAATTCTATAATTTATGTAATGTAGGTGGCCCAAAAATTAGTCAACCGTGTTTTGTAATACAA